CACCATATTCCATGGCTGGCGGACCCCTTTCTCCTTCCCTTCCTCCAGCCTCCAAGTCCACAATAGGCTGAATCCTTTCCACATCGCATCTATCTTACTTTTTTTTTCTGTTGCTGCAGCCACGAAGCTTCTCTGATTTTAGTGGCTCATGTGATTGCATTTAGGGCCCACCCCCATAATCCAGGAAATGTCCACATCCCAAGGTACTGAACCTTAATCATACAACCAAGTCCCTCTAACCCACACTACAAAACACAGTCAAATTTTCCAGGGAACAGGATGTCAATACCATTATTCTGCCTTCCATACAGAATTTCACTGAAAAGGCTGGAAGGGGCCTCAGTTGGACAAACCCTTTTCCCTCACCATCTCACAAATGAGGAGACAGAAAGTAGGGAATTATTCAGTGTTACACTGCTAGCTAAGTTGAAAACTGAGGCTGGATCCCAAGTTTCTTGACTTAGGGTCCAGAGTTCTTTCTAGAACTTTACTATTCAAAGTGTGGTCTGTTCACCAGCAGCAGCTTCTACATGACCATGAGTTATTAGAAATGCAAACTCTCAGGCCTCATGTCATATCTGCTAAATCAGACTGCATTTTATCAAGATCCCCAGGTGATGCTTATGGACGTCTAAGTTAGAAAGGCACTGATCCAAGACATCACCGAACCTTCTGTTTCCTTCCTGACAAGAAGGTTGTATATGATTGAGTGAGGGAATATCTCAAGTGGTTTGGCCTCATTGCTCTCTATTGAGCCCAACTGATTCTGACCAGACTGATCATATCTCTAGAGGTGCAGACTTAACACTACCATCCCCAGTTCTTGCTTATCTGGGGCAACCTCTGGGTGCCAAGCTGCTGTTCCAGTATTGTGCCACACAGTTTTCTCTTCTTGGAAGACAGGCAGTATAATAGAGCAGTGAGGCCCTTGGGCTCATCTCCTGGTTCCACCACTTAAGGTTTGTGAACTTGAATGAGCTGCTTATCTTCTTTATGACTCAATTTCTTATAAATAAGGATGGGAATAATAGTGCCTACTTCATGGCTGAGGAATAAATGAGATAATGTATGTAAACCTCTTAAAATCTGCCACTTAACAAGAGCAATGTATTAGTTATTTCTCATTCTTCTGGGACCCTTTCCAAGTAGAATTGAAATTCTAAATGAACCCAGTTTCCAGGAATCTCTCAAGATTCTGTCTTCTGGGATCACAGGAGACACCCTGACCATGGTTCCAGGTGACAAGTGTCACTGGCATCAGAAAAAAAACCAGGAAGAAGGGCTGTCCTTGGCTGAAAGCATTTGGTCCCCTGGCATGTGATTCTTCATTGCCTGTCCCTAACCTTATTTTTTTTCAGTCATCACAGAACTTTAAAGAAATGCACATAGATTTAAATGCATTAAGTTTTGGAATGATCCTGAATACAACAGAGGGGGCAGAATGCTGAGAATCTTCCAACCCACATCTCAACATGGCCACATTGCTTTTTTTTTAAGTCTTTCTTCAAGCCAAATGTGTTTCCCTTCTGGTCATCTCTTGGAACCCTAAATCTGTGGGCTGACTTGAAATTTTATAAATAAATACAGGGTGGGGCAAAAGTAGGTTTACAGTTGTATGTGAAACAAACAGTTAATTCTTGCATTATTATTATTTATTAATTATTGTATTATTTCCAATACAAACAACTGTACAACTATTTTCACCCAAGCCTGTAGCATGCTTTTAAAATCATTACACTGAAGTTGAAATTCGCGATTTGGTCTTGATGGAGGACATTGAAGCAGAATTTATCTTCTTACTGAATGAGCATCTCTGGATTTTGCAATATGGCCTTTTAAGATTTCTATACCAGCCAGCAATTAAATCTCAAAGCTCAAAATTTCTTAAAGTTCATTTTATACATTCCCTCCTCTAGTGCTTGACTCACATTCATAATACATCAATCAATTTTAAAATATACTAAATTCTCTTTAGGAAAATGGAAGAAAGCCAAGGATAATTTAATGAAAACTCTAAGCTCACTATAAAAAGATTTTTAATTTCTAATATAAGGCATGTTGTGAACTAAGAGACAGCATAAATGAATATAAAATGCAAATTAACCAACAATAAAAAAATGTATTATTCTGAAACAAACCAACCATACAAATCATGAACACTATAAAAAATGAACCAAAGAGCCTGAAGGCAGGAACATAATCAAAATATTTCCAATAAACCCTTGGTTTGGAACTTACTCCTTCAAAAATGAAACTATTCCTAATGGTTTGCTTTATAAGAAGAACATTTATTATATCACCTTTTTGTTTGAATTAGAGGAGTAAGAATTATGGAATCGTAGTACAGTAAGTCCTCACTTAACATCATCAACAGGTTCTTGAACTTTAAGGGAAATGACATATAATGAAACCAATTTTACCATATGCTAGTTGATATAAACAAAAGTTCAGTTCCTACAGCATCTCATCAATGTTATAACAAAATGACATTGCATGAAAGGACATTTTTCGAGGACCTGCTGTACTAAAAAGAGATAGTGGAGGTTATCTTTCTTCTAATGAGGGACCAAAGTCCCACAGAGGCAAAGTGGTGTCAGAGTTCCAGGGTCCAAGACAGTCTCAAAGGATGATATCAGAAATAATGGGAGACTCGAGCTCCATACCTGAGTGCACAAAAGGAGCCCTAGCTGGGTCCCTCAAGAATTGGGCCTAGACTTTATCATTTAGCAGCACATTGAAATGACAAAACCGAGTGTAATGACACCTCCCAGCCCCAGCTAGCAATCAGGAGGCATGTGCTGTGTAACAGATGAAGCACATTTTGCTTTGATTCAGTTCAACAGTACTGCCTGCTGAAGGTTTCACAGACTTAAGGCCCCCATTATGGACCAAGAGAGATTTGGCACTAGAGGCAAACATCAGACTGAGTGGCTTCCTCCTCAATCTTCACTGACCACTGTGCATCATATGTTTATATGCCAGTTTTCCTCTTTAACCACAAAGAAATTCCAATGCAAGGATAGTAACAAATTTATCAGAGAGCCAAAGAAACAAAATGGCTAAGAGCGCAAGTTGTCTGGACACACTGACAAGATTTAAATCTTGGCTCTACCACTTACTAGCCGAGTTATCTTATGTAATGTAGTATCTCTTATATGTCTTTACATAATATCTCTTATTATGTAAAGGTATGTAGCATCTGTTTATTCTCTCAATTCTAAAATGGAGATGATTATGTTATGATCAAATGGGGTTGTTATTAAGTGAGACAATATACTGAAAGAGTAAAAATGAATCCTTAGTAATCATACTGCAGTGTTTATAATGGAACATCAATACAATACTTCTAGCAGGCCATATCCAAGGCCACACTGCTGGTACAAAATGACTAACAGTTCCTTCTTCTGAGTGATTTCTGCTTTCTTACCAACATCATCCCAGTTGCTGAACTGGTCTTGCTTCTTAATAGCCTTCATTTCAAAACAAGTCTCTGCTTCCCATATGCCATCTTAAAACCATCTAGCATAAGTCCAGATCTTATAGTAAGCCTCTCCCAACTCATATAAAGATGCCCTTAGGTATATGCACTCTCTTGCTGCAGCAAGCTCATTGAACTTAATTAACCTTGTTTGACATCAGGTGCACTACTGGTGGTCTTTGACTGATGGGCTTCCACATTACTGGGCACATAACATTGCACACTACATGCATGAGAAATACTGGCTATTGGCAATAGTAGAAACTCCTTTTTACCCCAGCTTCTTCATGTAGCACACCTCAAGACACATTTGTTAAATGAAGGGTCACTCTTATATAACTGGGAAGACAGTTAAACATAGGTAGGATAAAGAAATTTAATTTTTTTCTCTAAGGCTCAGAGTGTTATTTAGAAGTCCCCTGGCATAATCACAATTGGTGAAATAAAAGAGGAAGCAAAGCAAAGGTTTTGAGCCTACTGAAGTCCAAGTAGTAACCAGGAATTGGATCCTTCCCTGGATCTTTTAAGCCAGGCTAGCCAGATAGCTATAAAAAGAGAGTGTTAAACTAGCTATTTTTTAAAGTGTTTATTTCCAAATTTCTACAAATTAGGAAACAGACCTTTGGAGTAGTAGAATGAATGCATGCCCAAGACACACTCAGGGTGATTAGGCTGGGACTGGAACAAAGGACAGGACTTTGTATAGAATATGTAATTAACTACCTATTTTTGTGTCACAAATCATCCTAATACTTAGTGACTCAAAATAAGAGCAATCACTTATTCTCTGGCAGCATCTTCTGTCAAGAACCCTTGAATCCCTTGGCTGGGTAGTTCAGGCTCAATGTCTTTCATGAGTTGCAGTCATAAGAAGGGTTGCTGGTGCTCAGGGGATCCCCCTCCCAGGTGGCTCACTCCTGACTGGAAAGTTGGTCCCTCTTCACATGGGCCTCTCTACAGGGCTGTTGGAGTGTCTGCAGGACAGGACCAGGGCTTTCCCCATAGGTAACAAGCCAAGAGACCAAGACAGAAATAGCAAACCTTTTATGACCCAGCAGGGGAAGTCACACACACCATCACCTTGGCCATATTCTATTGCTAGCACGCGCCAGCCCTGTTTCAGTGCCAGCTCTGCCCATCTTCCAAATGTGCTATTTTGGACCAGCACCAATTCTGAGTCTGCGTTCCCTCATTTGTAATATTAAAATAACAACTTCCCTTTAGGGCTGTTTGGAGCATAAACCAATACAAGAAAATCAAGTTCTGCTTAATATAATAATATACTAAGCGTGGATTATTTAGAAGTGATTTCATTTCCTTAAGATGCCTGTCTCGAGTACACCTCATTCTTTTAAGGTTTAAACTCAAAACATACTTTTTTTCCCCAACCCCCCTGGAGAGTGAATCGCCCCCCGCCCACCCCACACCAGTTCCCAGCCCAAGTAAGACAGTTCCCGAGGCAGAACTTTAGTTCCGGGGGCTGAGAGCGGTGCCCGGAACGCATTGCGGAACGAACCGGAAAAGGGCCTTGCGGCTTTTTTTTCCGTCCGGGAGGGCATCCGCGGACAGCCGGCGTGACTGCTCTGGGTCCGTGGCCGTGGGTGCGTGGGGACTCCCCAAAGGTACAGCAGAGGGGCCCCCGGAAGTCTGGCGACTCGAGCCCTCTCCGGCTCCTCCATGCTTGGCTGGAGGCTGCTCGCTCAGGCCAGGTTCCAGGTGCTGGGCCGCCGCGCTGGGACCCTGGACGCTGCCCGGGGCTCCGGGAACAGGTGGGTGTGGACGAGAGACAGGGTGTGGGGTGGGGAGTGGTCCCTGCAAAACCAGGTGGCCCGGCCCGGCGCAGAGGGGTCTGCCCTGCGTGCGGGAGGAAGGGGCTATGTCCAAACCTGAGGTAGGGACGACTAGGGAGCTTTACTCTAAGGGAGCCCTTAAAGGACTGAAGGGGTGATTTTTTGTTTTGTCTTGTTTCGGTTTTAACGCTTATAAGCGACTGGCCGCGAGTATTACCAACAGCAATAATGCTACCCATCAATTAGTGAGCGTTTTCTATGTATTAAATGCTCGTATTAGGCGCCTTAGCTCATGTGGCCTCACGTGAGAGAAGTAACTTGCCCATGGTCACTGAATTAGTAAGTGCAAAATAGGGACTCTAACCTGAATAACCCATCTGACTGCAAAAGGGGGATAGATAACAGAAAGTTTTACTTCTTTTCTGACACTCAGCACAAAACTTACCGACCTCCGGCCCCTATGGTCTCCCTTGGTATGTTCAGCTTGATCAGAGGCCATGTCTTTTGCAGATCTTTTAAATTTGCACACCCAGTTTCCTCACCACTCTGAGCCTAAGCCATGTCATTGTGGAAAAAAGGTGAGCTTCTCAGAGAAAGATCACCATTCCATATTCTGCCACTTCTACTGGATATGAACTGCTACGGTTCACATACAAATGGTTGCTCCCACGTGTAGGTAGGACTCCCTTATTAGAAAACTGTTTATCCCGGAAGATAAGATGAAGTACTTTTCCTCTAGGATAACTACTTCATAGTTAAAATGTGAAAATGTGAGCCCTGTTATTATCTTAAGGAACGTCAGGGGCAGGGGGAAACTTGCATGGAATCCAAGCCCTTTCCTAAGGCCCTAAGGGACACTTTCCAATTCATGCGACCTCCTTTCTCTGTATTAAATAGAGAAACTTTGAAATTGTGGTTTGTTTTCTTAATTTTTATTTTTACAGAACAGACATCTGGCTTTTAGTTAGAAGTCTCCATGGCAAGAGTGGTACTTGGTGGGATGAGCATCTTTCTGAAGAAAATGTTTCATTTGTTAAGCAGTTGGTCTCTGAGGAAGATAAAGCTCAATTAGCAAGTAAACTGTGTCCTCTGAAAGATGAACCATGGCCTATACATCCTTGGAAACCAGGTGGTTATTTTGTATATAAGGAGTTCTCCTAATTACTTTGTGGCTGGCACATTAAAAATTATAGTGACTGCTTTGATAAATTTATCATCTCTTGAATTTATTTTTCATGTTTTCATTGTTTCTGTTTCATTGTGGTTTGGTTTGCAAGTTTATTTCCAGCTTCCTATTCTGCAATTGTGAATGTCTGGTGATAATCAAGACTTATTGAAGGAGCTGTTTTGTATGTGAAATGAGAATCATTTTGCATACTCTTTCTTGTTTCCTTCAAATAAAAAATAACATAACAATAAATCAGGGAAGGAAATCTGGAAGAGTTGATCTAAATTGTGTCACCCAGATGTCTTCAGTCGGGGTGTTCTAGCACTCCAAGTTTGCCAAGCATAACCCCACAATCAGCTCTTTGTGCCTGGTAGAGTGCTAATCCCACAGGAGGACAGACCAAGAAGAATAAGGCCTTTCCTATTGAGAATGTGATCTCTCAACAAGTAGGGGTTTATTGTAACAGTTGAGTTGTATAGTGGAGCAACTTTATCAGTTTACGCAGCAAACCTAAGTTCATGGTGAAGGCCAACATATTTTAGCAAATGTGACCACTTGTGTCATCCTTATAACCCCAGCTAACCTTTCAGAATTTGAGTTGTAGATATTTTCTAATTAAAGACGTTTGATATTTATCATACCTTCTATTAATACCATCATTTAAAGATAAGATATATCCATTTAACTGTTTTCTTTATTTTGTACAGTCCTCTTATATTTGCCCATTATATGGAGATTTATTGAGTACAATATCTTATGTCAGGCATGGTTGAAGGTGCTTTTATCTGTAAGGAACAGTTGTGTTTTACTCTATGAATATATCAGCATATTTCTTATTTGCCTGCTTCTTACTTTGAAACCACAATTTAGAAAATACTGTTCCATCATGTTGGCAAATGTTGAAAAATCTCATGTTAACATTCGTTTGGTTTTAATTGCCAGGTTCCGCTAGAGTAGGCCTTGTCGCACTGAAATTGGGCATGATGCCTTTATGGACCAAAGATGGTCAAAAGCATGTGGCCACATTACTCCAGGTAAGAAAAAGGAGATGTAACGGACTTGTATGTGTGCCAACATCTATTTGTGCAAACCTAAATGGGCAACATTTATACCCAGAAACGTAAATGTGTGGTGAAGAAGGTTGATGTTGAGCGTAAATACTGTTAAAGAACTTTACTCTTAATGGTTTCAGTAAATGTTGCCTGACTGCATTCTTGCCTGAGCGCTGGTCTTCTTGACACTGGCATGGGAAAACTGAGGCAATGAACAAAAAAAAGATTTTAATGACTGTAACCTAGCTTATCACAGACCTACTAGTTTAATTCATAATGAGGGAAAAAAATCTCAGTTCCATCTTACTTTCATTATGGCATTCTTTCAACTCCAAAAATATTTTGATCTCTCTGCTAACTCAGAATGTAACACCCTTGTCAGGGGGAGCAGCACTTTGTTCTCTGAGATAAGGTAAACTCCTCCAGTGGTTAAAAATGTGGGCCCTGGGACCAGAAGACCTGACTTCAGGTCTTGGTTCTGCCACTTCCTAACTGTGTTCTTTGGAGCAGTGTCTCCTCTGTAAAATATATACCATTCTGTAAAAGAAATAATTATGACCTTTCTCAGAAAGTTGTGGTGAGGATTGCACAAGATGATAAAAGTCAAGCACTTAACACGTAAAACAGTATTAAGTGTCCAACAAATGTTGGCTGCTGTTGTCTTTATCATTACAATTATAAAAAGATCACTGATAATATTAGGAGACTGTCATTCCCCAAATCACATTGGACAGTTTAGTTCATCTTTGGGACCCAGCCTTAGACAACTGACTAGGTGATGGTAATTAAAATAAGAGCTCACACACATAAGTACTCAGTGCTGATAGGCATAAGGAGCCTACAAGCCCTTAGTAACTTTTTATTGACTCTAAATGAACAAGGGTAGGATTATAGTTTTTAGAATTCTAAGGAATTTGGGGAGCTTTCAGGAATTCTTGGTGGGATTGTAAATTGGTATGACCACTTCAGAAAATGATTTATCCTTATGTGGTCAAATTGAGATAAGCCAACCTTGTCATCTAGTGATTCCATTTGTGAGTGTTACTAGAAGATTTAAACAGGTATGCAAACTGTGCAACAGTGTTTACAGCAGTATTATTCTTAATACTCCAAAAGTCTAAATGACCCAAATGTCCATCAATGGTAGGATGGATAAATCATGGTATGTTCACGGGATGGAATGCTGGGCAGCAGTGAGAGGAGCAGAATGGAACTATGTGCAACAGTATGAATGAGCCTCACAAATGTAATCCCGAGTGAAAGGAATAAGACGTGGAAGAGTACAGTCTGATTCAAAGCAGACAATGCTAAACTACATTGTTACGCAATACTTTCATTATAATAAAGAGAAGTATAGTTGCCAGAGAAGTAAAGGATTGCCATGAAGTCAAGAATAGTGGTTATTTCTAGGGCAGTAAACCTCAGAAGCACCTGGAGGGCTTCTGAAACACCGAGGTTCTGATATAGCAGATCTCTGTAGATGCCTGAGAACCTGCATTTCCACCAAGTTCCCTGTGATGCTGATGCTGCTTATCTGTGGACCATGCTTTGAGAGCCACTGCTCCAGGGGTTTGGAAAAGAAAAAAGGGGCAGGGATTGGAGGAGACACAGAAGTTTTAGGGATTTTTCTTCTTGACATGGGTAGTGGCTTTATGCACATTTTCTTCATAAATACTCATCTAGTTGTATATTTCTGTTTTATGCCTTTTTTTATATGTGTTGTATTGGACTTTTTTTTTCAAAAGTTATCTCTATTTTAAGGGTGTGGTTGGTGTTAGAGGAATAATAAACTTGCAGGGAATTACTAATTGTCCTAGGGCCTCAGTGTGACTAGCGTGTAATGTTAAAATGTATCTTGGCGCATACTTAGTTTTTTTGTTGTTTTTTTTTTTATGTTTGTGCTTATAGGTACAAGACTGTCATGTCCTAAAATATACTCCAAAGGAAAATTATGATGGAAAAATGGCAGCCCTAACTGTAGGAGGAAAAACTGTATCCCGTTTCCGTGTAAGGATATATTTTCATTCCTAGAAGAGTAACATTTTACTAGTTTCAGACCTGAATTCTTTAAGTTTTGAGTGTATTCCACTGCCACAGCCTTGCATTTGTCCACGAGATAAATTACGGGTCTGAGAGAGGCAGTCGGGTAGAGCCATTGAGCCCCAGAGTGAGAGAGACTGAGTGTGCCCCAGTACCTCTCCTCACTGTCTCAAACAAGTAACCGCCCTGCAGGCTGCAGCGTTTGCCCCTCTGTAAAACGGGGGTAGAAATACTGCATATGTAAGAGGTTTGTTACCAGGATTATATGAGAGTTTTCAGATGTGCCTGGCATGTAACAGACGCTCGATAGTCTTTTTTTTAATCATGTTATTGTTTTATGTTTAGTTTTCATTTTTTTCTAAATTGTTTTGACAGTTGACAACAACACCATAAGGGTTAGTTTTGTATATTTTTCAAATGATGCATTTTTTTCCCAGAAAGAGTACTAATAGAATGCTGAGTTCGTAGTTTAAATTTGAAAAATCTGCACAATTAGTATCTTTTATTGGGTGACTGAAAGAAGAGAATAGCTTTCTAGAAATAGCGATGGTTTTCACTGATGGATACTGAAACATCTGTAGGTTTACTAAAATGTTGCTTACCTCTAACATAAACATTGTTCCACTGTAAATTGTTTATGAAAGTAACATGGATGGAAATTAGGATACAACCTATACTACGCAACTGTAAAAATCAGCAAGTGCTTATTGTGCACCTCCTGTTTCCTTGTCATAGGTAACTTTTATTGAGCACTTATTACATACTGGGTACATAAGCATTAAGCCCTTACATTTATTAATTAATCTTTTCACCCTCTGAGGCTAAAGAGAGTTAGTGACTCACTCAGGGCCACCCACTGGTAAGAGGCAGAGTGACAAGCAGACCCCAGAGCCTTACTTTCTTAACTGTGACTTGATGTCCACCCTCTGGGAACACATAAGCTAATGGGGAAGATATTCAAGTAAGTCAGCGATCTCAACACAGTATTTAAATGCACAAGCACAAAATGGGGGATGGCCACTTCCAGTTGGACAGACCCTCCGAGGTTTCACAGGAAGGAGACCAGAAAGGAGAACGTGTTAAAGGCATGCCAGAGGGAGTGGTCTCTGGGGAACCAGAGACATGTGGAGGAGTGTGTGTGCTTGCACAGAGAAGTGTGGTGTGTCTTGATCTTGGTATGTGGGTGTGGGGCCAGTGGGGAAGGTGGCAAAGGTGTACCTGTCAGGATGGAGGGCTAAGGGGCTAAGGCGTTTGGACTTCATCCTGTAGACCCAGAGGAGCTTCTGAATTCTTTAACTAGGGTAGTAAGGGGGTCAAATTGTTATCTGGGTTAAATAAATGATAATCTGGATGGAGGGGGATATTTAGAAAGTTGGCTTAGGCACTAGGGGAGAGTTGATAAAGGCTTTTGAACCTGGACAGTTGCATCGGGTGGGCTTGGAAGGAGCAGAGATGTGAAAGACTGTGTGAGTGTGCATGTGTGGTTGGAGGACTCCAGTGCAGAGCGGTTGCTAACTAGGTCAGTGCTCATGCTGTGGCCTTGAATAGAGACAGAGAAAGGGAAATGGGAGGAAAGGAATGTTTGAAGTGTTGGGAGAAAATCTAGGTGCAGTTGTCTCGTAAACAGTGATACACACAGATACCAATTAGTGAATTGTTCATAAGGGAAACCATCCAGTCCTTTATTTAATAGGATTATAGGCCGTGTAGGCCTGTCTCATAAGTATTAGAGAAGTTAACTATTTTTGCATATTATAATAGTATAATTTATTTTCCATTAAAGCATTATAGCAATATCTGTTCTGCTGATAATTTTGGACAATTTATTGATTGATGATTTCAGGGTTCAAATAATTCCACAGTAATTAAAAGCACAATGACGTATTTATGGAAACTTCTTTTTAAATGCCAAATGTTTGAATTTTTAACTGTATAAATATGTGCCAGCCTTCATATGAATCACGTGAATAATTTTTTGGTTTAATAGATGCCACTGTTTTCTAATTGATTGTGGTTCTGTGTTTTTGCTATGACTAGCAGATCTGTATTTTTATTACCAATTATTGTAAATTCACAACTTTACAGCCTTGATATTTGTAAATGAGTGTCATTTTGGGATAGTCCATTTTGCATCAACAGATTTGTGAGCATTACTTCCTCACAACTACAAGAGAGTGGGAAAATAAGTGGGCGGAGGGTCAGAAGGGCTGAGTTCTAATCCTGATTTCTGCCATTACCCCTTTCACTCCACCATTTAGAACATCTATGTTCTTACCCATGAAAACAGGGGCTTGGCCTTGATGGTCTCTGAATTCTTTCCTAGTTCTCAATCTCACATTGGTTCTCTAATGTTTTAGTGTTCAAGAAAAAAAAAAGTTATAAAAAACTGCTTGCCAGCTCAGTCTATTATTTTTCTTAGTGATGATGTCTTAGAAATAAAATTTTATTAATATCATACTAATACCTAAAATATTACAGAAATAATTCTAACCCACAACATAAGCTTTTAGTACCAGTCACCTCTCTAGTGCAGGCAGTGCTGCAGAGGCCTTCTCGTTCTTCTTCGAGGTACAAACTGTCTAGGTCCAGAGGACACGTGGTACTCTATTGAGAAGAAGCTTTGCCTCTGAATGACCTTTCTTCAGAATGGTATGTGAAAGTGAAATTACAGAATTCTTTATAAGTAAAGCATTTTGATTCAGAAAGGAAAAAGAAATTTTAAACTGGAAGTATACAAACTTTCTCTTGCATATTGTAACCCTGAGGGAAACTGCATGTAGATAGATTGTAAAGGGTTTTTAAAGAGAGAGAGAGAAGACCTATGGATGTTATCAAATAGTTAAGCGTTCTAAAATAAATTGAATCAATTTTATTTATAATATAGTTAAAACTGTTGTTCTTTAATCTGGAAAAGATTTATGCCACCAAGAATTGGAGTCATTTTGCTTTTGCTATTTTTGTACCTTATTATGAATAAAAACTGATGTGATACATAGTATTTTTGAATGAGGAAGTTAAGTAGACTTAAACGTTGATTAAATCAATTCATCTTTGGAGCAGAACGGCGTCTCCACTGTGGGAGGATCATTGCAGACACCATGGGAGGCGGAGAAAGTGCAGCCTCATAGACAGGCTTATCCAAGTGTGAGACATCGCTGCCAGTCTTTTAAATTGCCTCTGAAGTTATTTAGAAGTTGCAATAAAAAACCCTTTGTTACAATTCTGCTGGTTTCAGCTCAACTTGAGCATTTGATTTTTCTCATGACTGATACCTAACTAACCAGTTACAAGATATTTTGGTTTTTAAGAGAAAAAAATTGAAGTGTTCAATTTTAGTGAAATTAGAAGATAATCAAGTACATACTACATTTTTTTTCTTATGTTGCACTTTATAGTTAGGTCAAGATGTTTATCTTGTCTATTTTGTATTACTGAAAAAGTAAAGGATTTTTCTCAGAAGCTTCCTGGCATGCTTAAAAACTGATATTAATAAAATAATGTGCTCTTTAAACTACCAGGTAGAATACGTAAATGTTAAAATTGAAGTCTGTTTTAAAATTTGGTATATCTGAATCTGATTCATCAGGAAAGTAGTATCATTTCAAGGAGCCACATTTAAAGCTTTTGTGTTTGCTGATGTTATAGAACAAGTGAGTGTGATTAAAATGAAAAGCTAATGCCTTGGTGATATTAGTCTTAGATTTCAGCAAGTGGGAAGTGAAAGCATAAAGAATGACTGGAAGGAGTTTACGTCACCACTCTTGGGGAGAGGGCAGCTTCTTGAGGGAACTCTGTGAGCTACAGAACAGTCTTTGGTGGACACGAAGCAGACCTGCTCAGCATGGCTGCACGGTCCCGCCTGAGGGCCCCTGGGAGGTTCCCAGGGAGTGTGGCCTGACCCAAAAATTAAAGTTCCATGCTCGCGGGCCAGTGACACCCGATTTCATGTTTCCGAAAGTCAGCCTACTCAACAAGTTACAAAGGGGCACTAACAGGTCACATTTAAAACAGAAATTAGCAAGTCCCTAAGGTTCGCCACGTAATCAAAGAAGTCTGGCCATGCATGTGCTCCATTGGATTTGGGGCGGGGGTGATGCTTTGTTTCAGGACGTCACTCGTGTCATCTGCAGCTGGTTAGGGTTTTTCACTTGCTGCTCTTCTCGTTGTCCTTTTAAATTACAAATTACTCTTGGTTTGGCTTTATAGTAGTTTAATTTCTTATAAATTTGTTCATCCTCAAAATAAGTCATGATGTTTCTTTTAGGTGTATGAGTTTTTAATTACTAGAATGGAAGGTAGAGGCCGCACACTGTCAGGCCACAAACACAGCAGTGTTGTGTGCTCAGCACTGACGCAGCAGCAATAAGAATGAAAATGTAGGGTGTCCCAGGGAGACAGGCCAGGACCTCACACCCAGATGGACATTTGTCCTCTATCTCTGTCTTTCCACCATTCATTCAGCCCACCTCGCAGTGTCTACAGTGAGCTAACATTACAGAGACACATGAGTAGGACAGCTCCTGCTATCCAGGAGCTCACAGACTAGCAGGCAGACAGACATGTAAGTTAAATAAATGTGAAGTAACGTGGACGACAACTGATACACATGTAAGGTCTAGAGATGGCAGGGGTGCAAGCAGTCTGCAGTCTGCTCTGGTGAGGCTGCTCAGGGAGGGGTCTGGACAAGAAATACCACTGCAGCTGGGGCTAAACATGTACTTAACAGATATTTAATGAGCTTTGGAGGTACAGAGTGGGGAGGAGATTGTAGGATGAGAGACTGGCAGAGGCAGACACAGGTAAGCATACATAGAATATCATGGCTCATTGAGGGCCTGCTGGTGCTTCTTATGGTTAGAGGGGAAGTCGAGGGAGAGGGAACAGCAGGAAGATAGGTGTACCTGTGTTGTCTGTATTCTCATGAAAGAGGCACTGTTCTTGTCAGGAAAATATTAAGTGGACAACTTTTTTGGCAAGTCTTACAGCAACCTATATTAAGAGTCTTAATTTAAAAAAGACCCAGGACATTGTGGTAAGGAAGTAAGATGCCTGTCAAGTTTTCTATTCAGGGGTATTTAAAATAGCAGAAAACAAAAGGTGGGGCTGAAGGGAGAGGCAGATAGGGGACCTACCAGGCACTGCAGACATAGCAGCAACCAAAGTCTCTGCTCTCAAGAAGTTTATGTGTTGGTGGGATTACGGTGAGACTGGGAGCCTGTTGCATAGAAGATAAAAAAATTAAAGCTGTATATCATGATAAATTGAGAGAAGTATTTTAAAGACTAATAAACTAGGATGAGGGGATTGTGAATGACAGAAAGTAGTGCTACGTTAGACTGATTAATCAGGAAAGGTTTGTTGGTGTTTGGATGGAGACCTAAATAAAGTGACCATGTGAAAACCTGGCAGAAAACCATTCCAGGTAGGGGGAACAGTATGTGCAAAGGATGTGAGACCACTGTCCAGTGTGTTCTTAGACTAGTAAGAAAGGTACTGTACCTGAACTGTAGCAGGGCGAGCCAGGAGAAGAGCAGTAGATGAGGTCGGATTGTATAGAACCTTATAAACCGCGGGAAGGACTTAGGACTTGATTCTGCATGACACGGAAGCTGTTGTAAAGACATGGAATAGCCTGAGTTGTAAAAAGAACATGCCAGCCTGTGAATGAAGAACAGACCTGGGCCAGGAGTGGGACTTTTGAAGACTAGTTGAGGAGTCTATTGAAATAATCCAAGCAAAAGATTGTTAGGTGAAGTAAGAAGTGAGAAGTAGTTGATGTGGGCTGTGTTTTTAAATAAACTGCAGGGATTGCTGGTGGATGTGAGAAGAAAAAAAAGTCGAAGGTGACCAGGAGATTTTTGGTCCAGCAACAGGAGGATGGAGTTGCCATTTGTTGAGATTTGGAAGCAGGCTTGGGGAGTAAGAAGGAGAATTGAGTTCAATTTTAGACCAGTTAAACTTGAGTTACTATATGACAGCAAAGTGAGATATTGAGTTGGCAGCTGGACATACAAATTTGTAGTTCAGAGTAAAATTTGGGATTGAAGTTACAAATGTGGGGTCAGTAGCATAGGAAGGAACCAAGGGAGCAGTGACTGGAAGCCTTTCAAGGAGAGAGTGGTCACCTGTGCCAGACGTTGCTGATAGAGCCAATAACATGAGTATTGGCCAGTGTATTTGACCACATGGAGGCGTTGGTGATCTTGACAAACACTTCCCATCGTGAGTATGGGGGCTGAGAGCTGCCGACTACAGTAGGTTTGAGAGAGTGGGGGGAGAGAAAACAGACCCAGCAACTCTTTCAGGGAGCATTGTTGTAAGGGGGACAGAAAAATCAGGTAAAGAAGACCGGCTAAGGAAAACTTTTGTTTTAACATGAGTTACTGTGACAACTTTGTATACCAATAGGAAAGTTTCAGGAGAAGTGGAGAAATTAGTGTGATTCAGAAGACTGTGGGGACAACTTCAGTAGTAAAACTACTGAATAGATGGAGGGGGGTTGGGAATGAGATGTGGCTCTTAATGAGAGCATGACAGTTTCATCTGTCATTGTGATTCCAGCCCTTTACACATCACAGTCATGGAGTGCTTTAAAAAAAATACCGAGGCCTAGGTGCCTCGTAGACCAGTGAAGTTACAGTCTGCAAGCTGAGGGCCCTGGGCATTGGCATTTTCTAAAAGCTCCGCATGTGCACCTCGGGCAACCTGGATCAAGGTGGGAGGAGGACAATGTATGAATATAAGTGCTGGTGCAGACTATGAGATGGATCGTGGTGATGGAGTGTGGGGGAGTGCTCCTAATTCTCCTGTATTTTATCGATAAAGTAAGAGGCAACATGATCGCTCAAAGGGGAGAGGAGGAGGGAACAGTGCTGGTGGTTTTTAAAAGTGGTTGTGACATAGTTGCCTTGGAGAGTGTGAATTATTTAACCAGGGGAGGGAGATGTAGGTTGGCCAGGCCACATTTGGGGTTCACTTTGAAGTTTGTGATCATGCATTGGAATGTGACCTACCGAATTTTCTTCTAGTTGCTTGGAAACAGGTGTAGAGTAGACAGAGTTGAATTTCCCAGGATTGGGGTTCTTGATACATAATCTCCAGTGAAAACTCAAATATGAGCACAACTCTGTTTCTTCTCCTGCAGAACAAAGGTCTTTCCCCATGTACTGTGCTTTAGCTGCACTGTGGTTGGATCCTGTGTGTAATGGATCATAGGTGAAAATCTCACCTCCCTTCAGTGACTAGGGCGCTCTTTGTTCCTTAGGGAACATAGTGCTCTTTCATTTGTTTTCTGGTATGATAATAACTTGGGTTAGAGCTGCATTAAACCCCACCTTCAGTATTTAATTTGTTATTTCTGTGTGCTGCTTTTCCTCTAGAAATCTACAGCTAAATTGGAATTTTACCAAGAACTTGGATTGCCACCAAAACAGAAAATTAAAATATTTCGCATAACAGATAATGCTGCAATTAAGCCAGGTAATCTCAGGTTGGGAGAAGAGGGGGGTAAAAAACCCACGTATGTGATTTGTTTAACGTCAGCCCTTTCAACTAAGCTGAATCCACAGTGCAAAGTCCCAGACATTGATTTTTAAATATAAAAATGTATCTGATTTAATCACTAAGGACAAACAAGTCTTTCTTTTTTCAGTGAAAAGAACTGTGGAGAACTCTTTGTTTTCATGAAAGAGGGAGGAGGGCTTTTGTTTTTAATGCACAGAGAGTTTCACATTTGGAAAAGCCTCTCAAAGTAAATACATCAGCTTTTAAAATGTGAAGTTTACAGTGTGTCGGCTGCCATGGCATTACGTGGAGAGGAGCTGCACTTCCACTGAGAGAGAATTTGAAAATATATGGCCTGAAATTGGACAGTGACCAACCATAGCACTTAGATGTAAAGATTATTACTTAAAAATTTCAAAGTATTTTACCAAATCCATGGGATATCAAAAAGTGAGATTTGGCAATATGATTATATTGGTTTATGTACCATAATTAACAGCATTGATGCCTTTAAATTTCAGAAGAGCTCTCTGATCTCTTGAACTTGAGTTCTAACAAGTACGTAGTTTTAAAAATTGGTACTTTAATATCTGGACTGAATTTTTTAAAGTAAAATATAATTTAATAGACCTTATTATTTGGCATGACAGAGGGTCAGCCTTGGTATAAGTTAGGATTAAAATGTATTTTCTGAAGTGTAAGTTTTGCAATTCAATGGAATTAAACTAACAAATGTAAAATTAAGCCCACATTAGCTTTTACTGTAGCTTAGACCATGTGAAATTATTCTTTTGGGTGAAAAGTCGTCAAATATCAGCAGGTCAGGTCAGTTAACCTCATAGAAATTTTTAATCTCTCCCATTTTTCTTTCTTTAATTTTAACTTACAATTTAACTTCAATATTATTTTATATTAGTTTCAGGTGTACAACATAGTGATTAAACATAGACCTTACAAAGCGATACCCCTGATATTTCAAGTACCCACCTGGCACCATACATAGTGATCACAATATTGTTGACTGTAGACTGTATTTACTATGCTACACTTTACATCCCCATGACTGTTCATGACCACCAGTGTGTACTTCTTACTCCATTCACGTTTTTTCCCCAGTCCCCCAGCCCGCCTCCCCTCTGCCAGCCATCATTCTGTTCTCCGCAACTGTGAGTCTGTTTCTGTTTTGTTTGTTTACTTTGTTCTTTAGATGTCACATATAAGTGAAATCATTTGATATTTGTCTTTGTCTTTGACTTATTTCACTTAGCATAGTACCTTCTAGGTCCATCCATGTTGTCACAACTTCACCTGTTTTTTCTTAATTCAAGGTCTTTTTCTCTTTACAAATCCAGTTTAGGCACTACCTTAAAAAATACTACCCTTTGGAATTCTACGACACTCTACTCCCATTTTTAAACAAGCAAACAAAAATGATCTTCCCATGCATCCTCTACTACATCAGTTCCAGCTTTTTAAAATTATTTTAACTAAAAAAATTTTTAAATTTATGTATACTTGGCATACACTATCAGTTGTATTAGTTTCAGGTGCACAGTATAGTGATTCGCCATTTTTATGCGTTCCAGTGTGATAACCCTGCTAATTCTAGTTATCATCTGGTAACTGTGCAGCCATATCACAGTATTATTGACTGTCTATCTCTTCCCCGTTTTCACCCATCTCCCCACCCTCTCCTTTCTTATAACCATCCCTTTGGTCTCTGTTTCTATGAGTCTGATTTTGTTCTGTTTTTGTTGTTGTTGTTCATTTGTTTCTTTTATAGATTCCACATGTAAGTGAAATCACACAGTATTTGTTTCTCTCTACCTGACTTATTGCACTTGGCATAATACCCTGTAGATCCGTCCATGTTGTCACAAATGGCAAGATTTTACTCTCTTTTATTGCTGCATGATATTTAATTGTGTATATATACCATCTTTTTTATTCAGGCTACTTCCATATCTTGTTATTGTAAATAATGCTTCAATGATCATAGGGATGCATATATCTTTTTGAATTACTGTTTTCATATTCTTTTGATAAATACCCAGAAGTAAAATTGCTGGGTCCTATGGAATATCTATATTTATTTTATTTTATTTTTAAAAAAATACATGAGGACATGCTTATTGATTTTAGAAAGAGGGGAAAAGAGGGAAAGAGACAGGGAGAGAAACATCAATGTGAGAGAGAGAAACATTGATATACCTCGACCAGGGACTGAACCAGCACCTAGGCATGCGCCCTGACTGGGAGTCAAACCTGCAACCTTTCGGTTTATGGCAGGGGTGTCAAACTCATTTTTACCAGGGGTCACATCAGCCTCACGGTTACCTGCAAAGGGCCGAATGTAATTTCAACTCCTTAACAGTTAAGGAGTAACTGTTAAATTTATACAGTCCTAAAATTATTTCAGTCCTTTGAAGGCAACTGCAAGGCTGATGTGGCCCCTGGTGAAAATGAATTTAACACCACTGGTTTGTAGGATGACGCTCCAACCTACTGAGCCACAGCAGCCAGGGTTTGTATATCTATTTTTAGTTTTTTGAGGGATCTTCACACTGTTTTCAATAGTTGCTGCACCGCTTTTCAGTCCCACCAACAGTGCACAGGGTTCTCTTCTCTCCACATCCTTGCCAACACTTGTTATTTGTTAACTTTAATGATAACCATTATGATTGGTGTGAGGTGGTGTCTTAGTGTGGTTTTGGTTTACATTTCCCTGATGATTAGTGATGTTGAGCATCTTTTCTTATGTCTGTTGGCCATCGGTATGTCTTTGGAGAAATATCTTTTCATGTTCTCTTATTTGATGATGTAATGTTGGTTCTTCACCTAGATAATAAATTTTGTAATTGAATTTATTGGGGTGACACCAGTTACAAAATTATACAGTTTTCAAGTCCACAGTTCTACAACACATCATCAGTACACTATGTTGTTTGTTCACCACCCCAAGTCCAGTCTCCATCATCACCATTATCCCCCCATACTCTCAACCACCTCTCCCATCCCCCATTAGATAATAATTCTTGAGGTTAGAAGCCATGTCTTATACTTTCGTACTTCTCACTTTACATATTGTAAGTTCCCTATAAATGTTTGGGGATTAACTGCCAAATTAAATAGTTCTTTTAAGTGTTAACTCCAATTTATATAAATACTGTGAAGGGTTTTGAGCTACAAGATTCCATTAAATAGTACATTTCCCAAGTGTACTTAAGAGATTTTATTTACATACAGGTAGTTTTGGAAATGCTAGTATATAAAATTAGAGGTATCTATAGTAGCAGCTTTTTCCTATTCCAAATATCTGGGCCGTGCTAGAATAACTGTATTTTATTGGAATAATGACCAGTCTCCCAAAAATCTGATGTGTATTGGCTTTATAGGGACATTATGCACACTATAATTATTAACTAGAGAATGATGGACCTGTGTTTAAATAATTCAAATTTCTAGTTTGGATAATTTATCCCTAATGGGTGAAAAAAAAAGATTTGATCCAGCCCCAACATTTTTTGTCATTCTCTTTTTGTCTTACACGAAATAGGAAATTTACCTTAATTTAGTACATTTTTACCAAAACAACCAAGAATCATCCAATGCGTGTATTCGCCTGCAGGAAACATTGTTGGCGCGAGAATTGCCCATTTTGGGCGGCACTGCGTTGACTGTTGGAAGGCGCACCGTCCGCCAGCTGTGCTCTGCTAGCTCGCTCTAGCGCCACGTCCTTCGTGCTGTGGCATGGTGTTCTTCAGCCCTTGTCGTCAGCTAACACGTGTTTGTTGAATAATTTTGTTACCTTAGAGTTAGTGCTTCTGCAATAATTATAATTGCAGAAGAGACTCTCCTACCATTTTTGAAATCTGTTACCTAGAATGCTTTCTGGATGTGGTTTATGTTTAGTGATTTCTGGGCAAACTTCATACTGTTTTTTGGTTTGTTTTCTTTTCATAAAGGCACTCCTCTCTACGCTGCTCACTTTCGCCCAGGACAGTACGTGGATGTCACAGCCAAAACGTAGGTCCACATCACAGGTTCTCTTTTCCTTTCGTTTTCCTCATGTGTTGGAAAATAACAGAGCAAGTGAAAGAAGTACAGTTTTTCAAGTTAGTGAATAAAGGATAAGTAACCATTATTCTCATTCATAATTCTAATCTTGAATGTTACTGACTGTGCTGTTTTTTAAATTCCATAGAGTTGGTTGTATGTGAAGAGTTCATGTCAGGTTACAGCCTTTAAACTGAGACGTGCGCCTCATTAAATGGGACGGAGGGAAAGGTCGCACTGCTTGGGTTCTCTGTGGGACGGGCCGCCTCTGTTTGGAGCACCGGAGGCTGGATACAGCTGGATGGTGAAATAAGCATGAGCAATGCTGTGGAGTTCTTTTAAGATTATTGTCTAGTTTAGTAATTGGTGGCTCTTTCCAGCTCTAGGAAACATTTTATACCAGTCGCAATAGTGGTTGTTCTGCCCAAGTTTGCCCTTAGGTAACTAGAAATCATCTTTGTGTTAAAAGCCTGCTAGGATGGGGAAGAAGAATTAGTGTTATACCTTAAGTAATATTACACCTCTTAGGTAACATGATATCTCTTGGTACCAGGTGAGACTTCTTCTGTAAAAGCAGATTTTTAGTATGCTTAAGCCAGGGTTTAGTTTGATACAAATCTACACTGAACAGAAATGCTGACTTCTAGTTGTATTACAGTAGACAGTGGTATTTTTGGCACTGTAGTTTTTTCATATTTTACTATCAGATGGCTTAAGATAAGCTCAGTGCTGCCTAGATGATCATCAGGAAACATTTAGATTTTCTAAAAGTAATGTTTCTACAGTTGGTTGAGGTTGCTTTACTATGGAATGAAGTAATGGAGCCCTAATAGGTTTATTTAGAAATTGTTCAGTATAGGTTACTAGAATCCACATGACCTCAGCTGAAGTAAACTCCAAATATCAGCTCTTGTCCATTCCTGTTTCTTGTTCTGTCAACACAGATGGCAGTTCTACTTTATTGGCCTCAGTTTTCTTTTTGTCATTCGACAAAGTCTGCAGCCTGTGTTCCGGGAATATTCGGACCAGGAACCCTTTGAGAGTGAGCAGTGTGGTCCACAGGCGCTCTGGGATAGTGTTAAGACCATAGTGACCGAGCCAAAACAGCTAAATTGTCAGAGGAAATCAGATGACTGTCAGCATCAGTTTCCTTAACATGGTCAGTTAGATACACCTTCATTTCCATACTGTTATTGCCTACTTTCAAATGCAGACCATTGCAAGCAGCTGCTCATGCCTTTACCTTTGATGAGCTCTTTAGAAATAGAGTGGGGTAGATTGGCAGTAGAGTTGAGTCCTTGTTTTCAGAGATTACAAACCTCTCCCCATGTCTCCCTGCTCCTTGATTGCTGTGGACTTATTGGTACTTGGGTCTCTAAAATCACTGGTTGCTTGGTAACTTTGTTTATTCTGCCTTCTCTTGTCAAGAACCCAAAATATTGCAGTTATAAAGCTTTGGTTTGGTTAGTTGGGAGATGTGCGTGTTCTGAATTAGATTATTTTACTTTTTTAATTTCTGAATTAATTATTACGTATAATAAAATATATCACAGGAATTCTGTAAATTTAAACACAGTTAATAGCCTGTGAATTCCAATACATATTTTATAGAATATATCAGATATTCTGACAAGACCTGTGAAGCCAGAGGCCTTTCTTAGCTGATACCTTAGGGCAGGATTTGTGACTAGCTTGGATTGGAGCCTCGCTTTTCCAGTGCCTGTGTTCAGTAAATGCTTTCATTTCATATGCTACCATTGGGTTTCCTTGGCTTCTTAAAAGTTATTTTTAAAACTCCATCCTTCTCCTTGTGAGTATAAAATGGAAAGGGGAAGGAAGCATGTTGGTTTTGCCTTGTGTTTTAAGATTCTGTAAAGCCATGTGCCAGACTCAGAACCAGAAAGCCTGTACAAGAGCTGGGAGGATAACTAGCCCTGGGCTTTAAAGTAGTTGACGGGTAACTCAGAGAAGGGAGGACCTTCACTCGGGAAGATCCTGGCAGTTGTATTGGCTGCAGTACAATATTCTGTTTGACTCTCACTGTGGAGCTAACTGTTGGGAGGAGGGTTACCCCACATATGTGTGTACTGCACTCTGGTGTGCATACCTTTACATGTGGTATTACCTGGGGTCAGGCTGAAATGGATTTGACTTTACCTTTTGCTAAGTGTTTGGGATGACTGTAGTTCTTGTAGCTGGCATGTTAGTACAGCCTCAGGATGCTCATAAGTTTGTAGGATTGTCCTTCTCATGTGGAGCTGTTTTAAATTACTTCTGGGTACATTTGCTGCTGGCTTTCCTGGGTTGCAAGGTGGGTGGGAATGTGGGTGTAGGTGTGTATATGTTTGCCTGCTTTTGTTTTTCCTTTTAAAATTCTTCTGTTTTTCCCTGATGCTTCTCATTTTTGGACAGTTTCCCCTGCTTGGAGTTTAAGTCCTTCACAGCCAGTGAGAATGTGTTCTTTTCCTTGTTGAATGTAAATGGAAACATCATTTTTTGGGAGTAGGTTCTTGAGCCCTCAGTCCCTTACTGCGGCTCACTACTGCCAGAGATTAACTACTGGGCTGGCCAAAAAGTCTGTTTAGTTTTTTCCATAAAATAAAAGACATATTTTTCAACAACTTTATTGATTTGGATATTTTTAGTATGTCTGCTATCTCCCACGTGTTAAAACATTGATTGTTCTCAATTAATGTCTCAATTTGACCACTATCGATGGCAGCTGGTCTACCTGACCACGGAGCACCATCCAGCAAGAAATGTCCACATGAAACATTGCAAACCAGTTTTGACACATTTGATCCATCACAGCACCTTCTCTATACACTGCACCAATCTTTTGCGTTTCAGGTGAGTTTTTACCTTTCCTGAATTAACAAAGCATAATATGCAGAAAATGTGTATTTTCTTCCATCTTCAATATTAAAGTGGCTACAATTAAAATTTTGATAATTTTTTTAAAAGGCACACTGATATGACAGCTGTCACAATAGAGTCTAACAAAATTGTTTTGAATGAAGTTAAAGACAACTAAGCAAAACTAGGGCCATCTTACAGAAAAAAAAAAAAAACATGAACTTTTTGGCCAACCTGTACCTTGTCTTCCATTTCCAACCCCTATTTTAAAATTTTGAAACTTCTGGGCTCCATCTTCATGATAATGAACCCTGTTACAGTTGAAGAAACTAGGGGGAAAAATGTGCAATGACACGGTTAGGGTCAGATGATGAAGGACATGGATTTACAGACTGGAGCATTGGTTCTCACACTTGAGTGGGCCTCGGAATCTCCAGGAGAGTTTGTTAAACACAGATGACAGATAGGGCCCCCCATCCCCATCTTCTGATCCAGCAGATCTGGGGTAGTACCCGAGAGTCTGCATTTCTAACAGGTTCCCAGGTTGTGTGGATGCTAGGGGTCCAGGGACCACACTTTGCAAACCACTGGACTGGAGAATAGCCGAGAGCTCACCACTTCTCAACCCAGGGCAGAATCCTAGTACCGTCTTTTCCTTAATGCTACTCTAATTATAACATAGAAACGTCTGTTTTAGAGCAAATAAATTTAATCAGTTTGGTTTCAAATAACATCGTCAATAAAACTTGGCCTGTTTATTATTCACATTTTCGTTAGCACGAAATAGAAAACGGGTCTCTTTAGTAATTGGCTTCATTATCTCCTTTCCATTAGAAAAGAGAAAAACCTCAAATTAATCTCTAATTGAATTCTTCATTATTCTCATGTTATAATAATTATATTTAATTGTAAAACTTATACTTGCTTTGAGTATTTCAATTTTAATTGCTGGATTAGACATACTTTAGAAATAACTAAGTAAGAAAATTTAAAACAAAAAAATACTGCTTAATTTAAGGGAATAATGTTAATAGAATCCATCTACTTCAAGAATGAAATGGCCTGCAGACTTTTTATTTTATTCTTTTAAATTTTATTTATTTATTTCTAGAGAGAGGGGAAGGAGGGGAAGATAGGGAGAGAAACGTCTATCTGTTGCCTCCCACACACCCCCAACTGGGGACCTGGCCTGCAACCCAGGCATGTGCCCTGACCAGGAGTCGTACCAGTGACCTTTTGGTTTGCAGGATGACATCCATCCCACTGAGCCACACCAGTCAGGGTCAGATGTTTTTGAAGTGACCAGTGACCAAAAGTAGCAGCTTCTTTTTGAAGACTTCCTTAAATTTTTTAAATGCTCCTCAATTATTACATTGGGAAATCTGCTTATATTGAAAGACACATTGTATTTACTTGTGCTGAATTTGGGCATAATTCTCCATATAAATAAGTAAATATACTTGTGTCACTGTGGAGAGTAAGGTGAATATATAGTTACCAGAGTTTATTTTAATTTTTACTTTTGTACCAGAAAGAGTTTTTTACCTAGAGGGTCTGAGAATACAAATTTAATTTAGGTTATATGGGAAAGATTTTTTTTTTCAACTAATACATATGTAACCATATGTAAGCAGAATAATTTTTCACAATTTTATTATGCTATTAATAGATAATATAGCCTAGTCTTTGAAATATGGCAGTTTTATGTTATTCATTCAAAGTGAAACTTTAATACTAGCATGTATAATGATATGTTCCCCACACCATCGCCACCAGCACTCCCTCACCCCAGTACCCTTTTAAGGTTTATGTTCCAGTGTAACTTCTGATACATGGGGGATTGAGGTCTTAATGTTTTCTCTCTTACCCTCTCTCTCAGTAGTGAGGGGGAAACTGACTCTTGATTCTGTGTTCAACATAGTCTGCTTAGCCCATTATTTTCTGTTGTTTCCTAGAGGTGCTTATTATAATTCATAGGGGTTGTTTTTTTAATGAAAGAAATCAGGAAAGAATGAAACAAAGAGTAAACAAAAAGAAAACTGTAAAAATGCATTCTGCATTGTTTAGGGGGAAATGTTAGGTCTCTGTCTCAAAGGACTCGAAGGACACAGATG